AATTTTCCTAATTATTTACTAGGTGAAGCCATCACACGAAGGAGGAAATGCTGGCTTGGTGACCGGCCTCTCTCAGAGATGGAATCCAGACCATGGAAAATAACAACTCAGTGAAGAGCAAAGGAGAAGTGGATCACTGGGAGCCAGGAAGGAACTGACAAGAAAATTAGAATCTGTGGAGAATTTGGGTAAACCGTCCAGGACACGGAGGAAACAGGGAAACAATCTGGACTCTGCACAAGCACGAAGGGAGGAGAACTTGGCTCTGCAGAAGCAGGGTAAGCGCCCAGGGCCAGAGACCCTGGGAGAGTGGAGGCCGCCCGGGCTGGTCACGGGCCCCAAGAGAGGCCACGGCAGCTGGGAGCTGCAAAGCGCCGCGGGGTCTTGCTCCGAGGGGCCACGTCCACACAGCAGGCCGCACCGGGAAGGATGCCAGCGTGGGCGCTCGCCGGCCACTGGAGAGGGCCAGTCAGGCATCATTCCAAGAAGAGGTTTACTTAAATCTGGGATTCACAACAACTTTGTGACATGCACAATTCTGTAGCCCAGTCTCGGAGAACGGGGTGCTGGGCCTATTGCACTGCATCTTCCCCTCCACAGTTAACAGAGGTGGTCGGGTCTGTTCTGATCTTCACTGGCTACTCGGGGTTCATTTCGCTTCTTTTTTTTTTTTTCTTTTGTTTTTTGTTTTTTTTTTCCGGTACCGGGAATCGATCACTTCACTTCCTTCTTAGAGAGTCCCTTTCGCTCTCTTTTCCTGGGCCCATCTCCACATTTTTCTGGTCCTGGTATTTTCAATATACACCAGAGCGGAACCTTTTCTTTTTAAATGTAAAACACTGGGATTCCTGCTTCCCTTCTGCGTCAGCGTCCTTACCTCTGTTAGAGTACTTTTGCTAATCTTCTCCTTCCTTTAATGCTAACCTACTTTCGCGGTGACTGGCTGACCACCCTCTCCTTTTCCCTCCTCCCTCCCTCCCTCCTTTTCCTAACCTTTAGATCCTAGCCGTTCGCAGGCAATGCTCTGAAATCTTTCGCTTCTGGTATTCAACACACGCCCTTTGTTAGCAAATTGCATTAACCTAAAGGTAGGCTGCTAATGAAAAAATATGGCAAACTACCTTCCCAAGAGACATTTGTACCCTTTTGCAGAACTAATTCTTATCAAGGTACATGTTATTCCTAAATATAACATTTCAGATCTCAAAGAACTTGTGAAATAGGGAAGAAATTTAAATGAAGGACTCCAGGTATGTCACATCAACCCCCTAGCATTCGTCTACCTATTCATAATTGCTATTCTTTCAGCAGGAGAGTAAGTTTTGGCCATCCAAACATCCCCTAAAACCAAGGAGTTCCTTTTCTCCCACTATTTCTCTGTACATTTTTCAGCACAGTTGTTTCTTTTAATTTCTGGCAAGCTAAGTCTGGGCTTTGGCAAACCCTTTGTAAGTCCCTTGGAGATGCGTATGTAATACTAGCTTTCTTGTTTATTCCTTTCCTTATTCACACCATGTGTTCTTACAACAAAAGCTATTATATCTCTTGATGTCCCATGATGGGCTTTTCTGGAATTGGGATATTATTTTTAGGATTTACTCCCTCAAAAAATATGACTTTCCTGAATAGTATAATTAATTTCAGGAAAGTTTATTTCTCCCTTGACATTTTTTGCCTGTTGGGTTTTTTTTTGTTGTTTTTTGTTTTTTTTTGGTTAAAAGAAAGAAAAAGCAAAACAAAATTTTCTACACAGAAAAGGAAACAACCAACAAAATGAAAACAGCCTACAAACTAGAAGAAAATACTTGTAAACCATGTAGCTGATAAAGACTCAATATCCACAATATATAAAGACTCATATAACTCGGTAATGCTTTATAGCACATTACGGCGGCTACAGTTGACAAAAACTAGTTGAATATTTTAAAATAGCTAGTCGAGAGAATTTTGAATGTTCCCAACACAAGGAAATGATATACGTGTGAGGTAACAGGCATGCCTATTACCCTGATCTGATCTTATATATTTTATATATATATTGAAAATGCACACTCTGCCACATAAATATGTACAGTTACTATGTGTCAACTAAAAGTAACAAATATGTTTTGAAAAACAAAAAAAATGGCTAATTTTTAAAAGCAGGCAAGGACCCAAACAGATGTTTCACCAAAGAAGAAACAAAAATGGTCAAGGGGTATAGGAAAATGTGTTCGTCACTAACGGTCAGGAAAATGCAAATCAAAACTCCCCTGAGTTTATCACCTCACTCCTGTTAGGGCCACTTTTATCAAGAAGACAAAAGATGACAAGGTTGTAGAGAAAAGGGAACAGTCCCACGCTGTTGGAAGGAATATAAATTGGCACAATCATTACGGCAAGCAATATGAAGTTGACTCAACAAATTAAAAATAGAGTTCTCATATGACCCAGCAATCCTTCTAATGTATATACTCCCCAAAGGAATAAAATCAGCACTGCAGAGATATCTTCACCCTCTAGTAACTGTGATTTGATATGCAGTAGCTAGCATACAGAAACAACCCAAATGTTCATTGTAGACTAACCAATAAAAATATACAGTTAATGTTTAAATTTTTAAAATTATTATATTAAAAGACACACTGCATCTAATCCCTCTCAAAATCCTCTTCCTGTCTTCAAACACTTGTTTCATCATTCTTGCCATTTTATGAAGCAGTTCTGGATGTCCTCTTTCGTGTCTTTATGGGGTGTGATAAAAAATAAATAACGAAGGCTTCTGCTGAGTGTCATCCAACAGAAAGACAGGCTTGTAAAAATATTACGCTTTGTTCTCAGTCACCTTAATCACTGGGTCTGGCACGGTGCAACTTCTAGCGCTCCCCCGCGTCAAACGACCATGAAAGGCAGACTTTCTGAATTGATTCAGAACAGTGAGCAGTATGACAGCACAAGTAAGACACTCGTGACAGAGAACTTCCAGAACTGCTTCAGAAAGCGGCAGAAGACGAGTGTGTTTGAAGAAGCGGGGAGCGGGGGAGGTTGAAGGAGGATTCACGGCAATGTGTCTTCTGCTGCGACACTCTTTAAAATTTTTAACATCATTTTATTTTTATCATATTTCATAGATAAATCTGGAGGATACGTGAGGTGAAATAAGCCCAGCACACAAAAACATAATGTATATCCTCACTTATATGTGAATTTAAAATAAAAGTTTAAAAAATGAGAGAAGAAAAAATACATAGAAAATGTAATGACTGTTAGCAGGGGTGGGATAGTAGTAGGAAATGAGAAAATATATTGAAAAAAGGTACAAAGTTGTAGATCTATAGAATAAGTAAGTTCAGAAATTTAAGCTACAATGTGAGTACTATACCTATGGTATTGTGTACTGGAAATTTGTTAAAACAGATTTTTGTGATTTTATTATGCTCAAAAAGGGTAACTATACAAGAGAATGTTAGTTGATTTGAAATTTACTTATTTTAGTAAGTATAGCAAAACAGCATGCTGTGTACCTAAATATACACAATACAAAATTCAAAATTTTTAATGTGATTTTATTTTTGAAACATGATCAGTTAAGATAATATATTTGATAATATTTCTCTTGGATTTACTGAACACTTTTTTTTTCATCTTTTTGAGACAGGCTCTCGCTATGCAGTTTAAACTGGCCTTGAGCTCACTTTGTAGCCCAGATCTTGAACTTGCAACGATCCTCCTGCCTCAGCCTCCTGAGTGCTGGGATTACAGGCATGCGACACCACACCAGTAGCACTTTCAAATACACTGAATATCAATCTCTTCAGTGCACAAGAAACTGTTTATGTGTTAATTTTAATAGGTATTTCCCCAGAAACTCAAGTTAGTAAAACATATTTCCTATTTGCATAGTTTATCTGCACTTATTTGCATTTAATTTTCTTTATTAAAATAACACTTAATCTTGAAGCTTTTATGAATCCTATCAGAAAAGCAAAACTAAAACTGAAACAAAACAAAATCTAATATAATTCCCTAAGTTAAAAAAATCAAAAAAGAGTTGAATTGGTGTTAGGATAGTATGTGAACTTTAGCCCCCGTCTCTCCCCACCAAAAGAACAGGAAATATCACCAAGACTGAGGAATGAAACAGTCCATCTTCTGGTTCGAAACTGACACCACTGATCTGAGAAACAACTCTTCCTATTTTTGGTGTCCTTAACAAACCCTGCTCTTTATAGCTTTGGTCAACACACTGGAGACCAAATCAGTGGGAGATCTGTGGTCCTGGTTTTTTTTCCTTCAAACAGGTCCTTCCCAGACACAAGGTAAACAATACAATCTTTGCACAATTGAGTGCAAAAGTCCTGAGCTTTGACTCTTCCGAACTCAGATTCCCTGAAGATATTTAATTTGGAGGCTTCCTCACGGCACCACACTTACGTGAAATAGGGCTGAGTCCCTGTATTCTATATCTGAGAGGGAGTGAGGGCTGGTGTAATAGAAGGTGAAGCTCAGAGCCACTTACCGCATTCTTAGAGGGAACTCAGCACTATCAGCTACGAGCATTTCACGCTAAGAAGGTAAGGACCGCACAGAATCACAACGAAAACTTGGTAAATATCTTCACATTTTAGTAAGATGGTGATGTATACGTTTTGGATTTTTTTTCTAAAATTATGCCAAACCACCCCTAGTTAAGTACCGCCCTACCTACTTAAGGTTCCCCTTCTCCTTCTTCTAATAGTTTGTCAAATTAACACCTAAGGAGACCTTAAGAGTTGAAGCCTTTTAAAACTTGCACTCTGGTTGCCTAGCATCACACAAGCAGAAAAACGAAAATTAAAAGAAAGTTAGCTTCCATGTCCTGATGACCATTTATACAAAGCTAAGTACCCAGGTACTTGAAAAACACATGATGAGGTTTTAAATTTTGCCGAATTTCTTAAAATTAAGCGGCTTGGCATTTTGTGGACAGAGCTTCACATCCCTGCACGGCCCTGCTCCCTAAAGAAGAAAAATTGGAAAAGAGAATAAAGGCCCCAAACCAGGTGCCTAATTACTTGTGATAGTTTTTTCCTCCGCGCAGCCCTGGTGCAAGCAGAAGGGGAGTGGTGGAAGTGGGTTATTAGTCTGTGGGACCTGCACTGGGCCAGGAGCACCAGCAGGATATGCCGGGCAGATGCGAGCTCTTCATGACAGAAAGGAGTGCCCCGGCTTACTGGAGCTCTGCCCACCTTAGATCCAGCCTGTGACTACCTGCCATAGCATTTTCTTGAATAAAAAATCTTTTTGCTATATCTTATTTGTCATTTCCTCTCTCTTTTGACCAAAACAAAGGAAGCATCCATTTAATTCTTAACACCCTTAAATACCTTCTCTGGAGTTCCAGTATGGGAGGGACTACATTTGTGTAACTTGTTATTATATCCCCGAGGAATTTCCAGCTCTGGCAAGAAGTAGTGCTTAAAAAGTATTTATTACATGTATGTTGCTAAACTGGGGCTGTGGCTACTGCTTCTTCACCCGTACAGTGCTTTAATTCAATTACACATTAACGCTCAGTTCCCAGTCAGCACCCTGCTCAAAAATACCCTTTTTACATCTTACTCAATTTCCGCCACACCTTCCTGTTTTCTACGGTCTTTGTTCATGAACCTGGACATTCTCCAGAGACGCAAGAGAGGTGTTTCTCGAAGTGTGGTCACCGGGCCAGCACCGTCTGAAGAATCTGGAAATTTGTTAGAAATGTAGATCCCTGGGCACATCCCAGGCCTGCTGCGTCAGTAATGCTCAGGCTACGTCCTAGAATCCTGTGTGCGAGAGGACTCCAGGGGCTTCCGATGCTTCAGCTTTGACAGTTCAGAGCCAAACTTGACTGATGCTCAAATGTAGCAACCAACTCAGTCCAGTGGCCGCCACAATCATTCCCCAGGGCCCTTTTATAATGGTCTTTGCTGATGTTTTTTAAAAATTATGTTGGGTTTTTTAAAACATTAAATCATATCCAGTTCTTTCCAGAAAAAGCAATATCAATCTCAAGTAAATAATTATTCTAATTTATCAGACCTTTACATCCGTTCTCACTGATAATATGTAGTGACCCCTTGACAGAATAGTTTAATGCATATAATTTAGAACAATTTCTGAATTTCAAAATTATACAGATGAGTATATTTTGGATAATTTCATAAACTAACTCTTCTTCCATAGATGTAGGTCTACTTACATGTTTTATATTTTTGTAAAATAACTTTCCCTACAGAGTAGGATTTGTATAAATAACCCCAATGCTCCAAGTTCCTTGCCCCTACTTTTTTCTTTATAATCAACAGTCCCTTCATTTGCAAGATTCTTTGGAATATCGATGCTAGTAATCGGTCATTTAAGTCCAGATATAAAGTTTTGCTTCTTACCTAATTGTGCCTTGAGTGCATCTGAAATCTCCAGCATTATGGAGGGAGGAAGTTTTGCACTGGTATCATTAAGACCTGGAATAATAAAGTGGACTGCAAGGAAATAGATGAAAATAAGATAGAGGAAGAACGTACGTCATGACATCAAGCTCAAAATATCAGATACTAGAACATAAATCTTCACACTTATTTTGCTTACTCATTTTAACTTCAAATTTAAAATACTGGGAAAATACAACCGTAGCTTTTAAATAGAATACTTTTCTTATTTAGAACTGAACTACTGAAATCCTCTGGCCTTTAATTTATAGACGCCAAAATTGTAAAGTAGATCCTTCAGATGCGTGGTGAACAAAGAACGTCATTATCAGTGATAATAATTTTTAAAAGAGCAATTCAGACCCCTTCACAACTGAAGCAACCCTATTGGCTGGGAGGGTGGGTGCCGTCACTCCCATGCGAATAGGCTGGAGCTATTTCTTTAACACATCATGATAAAGTCGGGGTCTCTTAGCTTGTGACAGACACAGCCGGGATGCTCAATAGGAAGAGAACCGACTTTCAAATGACGCACCTGCTCACAGGCTGGAAGAGCCCGATCAGCAAAAGGCAGTTTGACTCGCTTACTGCAGGCGCAGATTCCAAGACTGACTTACCCAGTATTGTTCCTCCAAAGGGAGTCTTATCCGGTGATTTAGTTGAGGCTCTGTGAGTAACGTTCTGAATCACTGTGGAAATACAGAAAGGTAATAGTGCGGTGGAGAAAAGCTAACCATATGGAGCCATTTGCCGTGGGAGAGTCCTAGTCCAAGTTCATCAGCAAACAGAAAACTGCCGCAGGCTGATTACACAGCCAGCAGGGTCAGAAGCCAGCTCCTACCGCCACACCTCTGAGTACTGTCGCGGTGTCTTTTTCGTCCGTCATAAACCCTTCTGTCCTGAGCACAACTTCCCTCCTGTCTCCACTCCTCGCACCCTGTCCTCTCCCTAAGTCAGTAAGAACTAGCATAAAATATGACAACGGCATGGGAAAAAAAATTAGGCAACATTCTCGAAGCAAGGAATCTTTAGGTAATTCCAATACTAACTGACCCTGTTTGGACAGTAGAATTAGGACACTGCATTTTCTTAAAATGAAGAACCACCCCAGTCCCTTGTCTCTTCCACCAAGAAACTTCCTTAAAAAATAGGGCAGTCACTTTAATAAACTGAAAAATTGAAAGATAACACAAAGAACAAATGGATTCTGAAATGAAACGAGACACTGTAACTCTTGAAACCTGGATATCTTTATGATCCCAAAATGGCCACCAAGCAGTTTTCATTTTCAGTATCCTAAGGCAACTATTGCGTTAACGGTTTTTCGCAAGCATGCTAATGTAATCCTGAGCAAACCCCGCACACTTCAGACTTTGAAAAATTTAGTACACGTTATAGCTGCTTTGTCCAGAGTTGTCCAACCCCTGTGACTTGCCCAAAATTTTGCCTATTGGTACAAGAGTCAAAATTATCTATGAGCTGCTAATTTACTAGCCCATACTCTTTCTTTGTACGTTTTTCTGGAGAACAGCATTCACAAAAACTGAGAGAGTGTGTGCTGCCTTCCAGGAGCTCAGTTTAAAGCATATTAAAGAGTGGACTGAGCAGACGGAGCCTCGCAGCTCGAGTAGATGGAGTACCTTGCTTGATGATTGTGACTGGGATCAGCTTCCTTGGGATATACGCTGGCTGAAAAGAGAGGGAGAAGATCAGCTTTTACATCATCATTAATAACTTAGAGAAAGGAGAGTCAGGGCCGTGGAAGCAGCCCCTTTGGGACTTCGCCGAGGTCTCCCACGGCATGTACTGAATGGTCACGGACAGCACTTTCGCACACACATCTGCCTGCTGTGCTGGGCTCACTTGTTTTTCCCCATAAATATACCAATTGTTGACAGAAGCAGTTTTTTTTTCAGAACTTGCATTTACTTAGAAACTGCAGTGGAAAAACCCAAATCCTCTACATCTAACATGAATAATTTCATTCCATTTGAGATGTGACCCAATCCAGTTCTGTCTTCACATTTCTCTCAAGACAACTCCGAGTATATGCTACCTTCCCATCAATATCAATTATTTGCATAAACTCCTTTGCTCCTGCTTTTAATGCAGACACCACAGCCATCATGAGCTCCTGGCTGCAAGCAATCATTAACTTTTTCTAATTTTTTAATTTTAACTTTATTTTTTTATATTAAAGGGACAAAAAAATAAAACTGATACAGAATTTGAAAACAAGATGACGGGAAATTTACAACAGTTATTGTATTGCATATTGTTATCTTCAGAGTAGTTGCTCAGATTACCAGGTACAGGCACGCAACACTGATCAAGCAATATTAGCACTAGCTATTCTTTTCAATGAACTAATAGAAATTAGCATCACAATTATCTTAGCTATCTTCTGTACGCAACTTTTCTCCCCTTCCTTCTTTTCTCTTCTCCCCCATCCCCATTGCTCAAAAGGAAAGAACTACTGCAAGCATTTATTGCCCCACAGGGCAAAGCCAGGACTCAGATAAGACGTCCTTTACCCTCAACCCTGTGCTCAACCATTCTGAACACACACACAAAGAATCTCAGAATTAGAGGGGTGGATCCCAAAGGACTATGCTTCCTCTCCTCATTCAAATGGTTTCAGAAGTTTTATAGGAATTTTTTATATCACAGAGTGACTAACTATGGCTAGGTTTAGAGATTAAAGTGGAATTAGTGCCTGGCATGTTCACAAGACAAAAATGAGAAAGGTGAAGAAGTGGGCAGCAAATTCATATAGGAGAATTAGAGTTGAGGTGAAAAGATCGCAGTGACATTGATCTTTTGTTACTTGGTTTACCTCATATATGCATGATATAGACACACCATCTAGCAAACTTGTTGCTTATCAAGAATGTGAGCTATTTACCAAACCAATGCTTATGTCTGTGAACAAAAAGCTTATTAGCATGCTATCATTGTAATAAATGATATGTCCATGGAAAAGAAGAGTCACAATATGAATTTTATTGTTGGCTATTTTTCTTATGTTATGGTCTTTCTATCTTAAAAAATATAAGAATTGAAAATTTAATATCACATAATTTTTTAAAATGAGTATCTAAACTCACTGATCAAGTAATCTCCTTAACATCCCAAACTAAAGAATTAATCAACAACATAATCATTCATACACAGAATTTTATAACCACAGTTTAAAACAACCTCATGCAAAAGTACGGGTTTTATTAAATAAATCATTATTGAAAATTTTTGAACAATTTCTTCCTATTTCACAATACATTTTATGCACTTTGCTCCTTCTTTATGCAGTAGGTAGCTCACACCAGAGAAAGGCTGTGATATTTACACATGTGTGTCTGGTTTATTTCACTTGCGAGTATGGTGTCAGGTGCATCCATTTACCTAGAAATGTCTCACGTTTATCCTTCTTAATGGCTGAGTAGTACTCCACTGTATTAAAAAAGCACATCTTTTTTATCCATTCCTCAGCTGAGGAGAACATTTGGGCTGTTTCCAAGATTTAGCTCTTACAAACTGTGCTGGTATAAACATGGATGTGCATATATCACTGTGGCATGATGTTTTTAGGTTTGAAATACCAAATGTGTAAATAAGGATGGAAGTGTATAAAAGGTATTGTGAAATAGGAAGAACCTGTTCAAAAGAAAGGGCACTAGGGAGCGGGGAGAGGGAAAGGAGAAAAGGGAAATGAAAAAAAAAGATTAAAAGAAATCCAAGGGGAGGGGATATAGCTCAGCGGTACAATGGCTGCCTGGCAAGCGCAAGGTCCTCCTGAGTCTGAGTCTCAGCACCAAAAACATAAGTCCGTACTCTTAAGTGAAATAAGTAGGACACACAAGTTTATGCATCACATTGTGTCTCTGGTATGAGAAGCTGAAAGGGCAAATAAGGAACGAAATGTGCAACAGATACTGGGAAATAGGAAGGAAACGCTCAGATGGGAAGGGGAACCAGGACGGCGAGGGGGAAGGAAGGGAAAGGAGAAAGAATGGAAGGAAGAAAAGGGAAGCAAAGCTTCCGCAAACGCGGTGGGGAGGAGGGGTTGCGGGGAGAGGAGCGGATGGGACGAAAGAAGAGCACGACACGCACAGGTACAGACCCTCTGACGAGTGCGATCCCTGTGTGGATCTAAATCGTATCAATAAAATCAATTTTAAAACACCAAGAAATTATCTCTACCTTTTAATGGAAGTATACGGAGAATATACATAAATAAATACAAAGGGTACAGTTTTGCTCCCACAGTACAACCCAATTTTACAAGAAACACGTATCGACAAAAGCCCATCAGGAAGACATCATAGTCTTTTTTTAACAGCTGTTAATTGCTATCAGTCGATATTAATTTCATTGCGTGACTTTTTACATTTGCCAAATTCCTTACAAGGATGAACTCCAGTTAGAGTCAGACACGGCAGTTTTAATCTGCAGTCCGTTCAGCGGCTTGCACACTTCTGTGCTGCAGCTCCGCTCACGCACTACTGGCCAACAGGGGGATGATTTCAGTGTAATTCAGACACGGTTTTTCCCAGGCAGGAGGAGGGGCGTAGTAGGAATAGAAACATAACTTTCAGCACGAAAGAAAAGTGTTCTTGGCTTTGAGGTTTTCACTGGCAGAAAGATTGCTTTCAGCTTCATCAAAAGAAAATGTATCTCAGCACTGTACACAGACGCTTCTCTGGAGAAAGCAGACAGGCCTGCAGCCTGCTATACCGCCCCAGAAGGCTACTCAGAGCGGCCCACCAGGCTGCCCTCAACTGCCCCCTCCACCGCTCACCTGCTCTGCTCCAGGAGAAAGGAGTGCTGAGCACACCATCTCTACCACGTCTGAGAGTATTTTGGTGCGTGCATGCATGCGTGCATGCACGTGGGCGCGTGTTACAAAACGAACATGTACTTTTTTGCAACCCACATTTTTAAACTTTATTTTTTATAATTGTATTTATGAGATACTATATGATGTTTTAATATCAGTGTACAATGTGCAATGACTAAACCAAGTAATTAACATATCCTCCGAAAGGAAGTTACCCATTCTTTTTCCTGTGGTGAGACATTTGAAATTGATATGCAACAATTTGGAGCTATACCATAATTATTAATAATTATGACCATCTTTCCATGTAATAGTTCTCAAAAACTTCTTCTTCCCATCTAACGTAAAGTTGACCAGTGTCCCCCAGTTCCTTCTGCTCTGCCCCCTGGGCCCCAGGCCCTTGTAACCACTATTCTACTCTTTAGTTCTATGAGTTTAACACTTCTGAGAGTTTTAAATGCCTAGTGTGCCAGCCTCCCATTGCACGAGAGTTTCTCCAGGTCCCAAAATTCATTTTTGTTAGATCTGTGGTTATAAAAGTTCTGCTTTACCTATAAGTTCTTTACTTACGGCATAGTTTGCAAAAGCATCAAGTTTTGCAGAGCACTTACCTCATCATAGCAGGAATGTCTACATGCTGCTGTGTTGACTGCTTTTGAATTGTGTCATACCAAATTTTTATTTCCTGTGTTGTAATGATTAATTTTGAACAAGCAGGACAAATGGAAAAGACTCTACTAACCACAGGAATGGAACAAAGTTTCTGTTCTGAGTCCTGCAGTGCAGACCAATATTCTAGGTTGACGACAAGAATGTAGGTCCAGTATGTGCTGTCAAACTAGGGAGACTCTTCAGCTGCAGGGTGCAGTCCTTCCTGGACCTATAACTGCTCTGTTGCCTAATCTGCAATCCAAAGATGCACCAAGAGTGGACTAGTGAACAAATATCTACAAGTACAACACTTTTAAAAAGCCACCGCTGACCTTTCCTCGATGCCCTAGCTTGTTATCACAAGCATCTATTCATGAGCACTGACCGCGCGGGCGTGGGGCCTGCGGTGAGGATGAGGCAGGAAGATCTGCAGACGGCGTGCACGTTTGGCTACTGCGGTGCCATGGTGTGTGTGCCCCGCACAGTTCACATGGGAGAAACAACCTTCAGGGCGAAAGTGTTGACCGGTGGGACATTTACGGGTAACCGGATCACGAGGCCCCGCTATTAACTGGTGAATTGGTTAGTCAGTACTGCGGTGGGCTCTTGATAAAAGGAAGACTGGGGCCTCTCTGCCCTCACACGTGCCGTCCTGCCCTCCCGCCTCCACCGCGGCCTTGCGGGTGACCGCGCCTTGCTCTCGGGCTTCACAGGCTCTAGATTACATAGCAAATGTCTGTTCTTCGTCAGTTACCCAGACTGCGGTGCTGTCACGGAACGGACTGCATGAGACGCGGCGTGGACACAGTGTCGCTGCCCTCAGCCGCCACCCTGGCGATGACTTTCTCCGGCAGTTTCCTGCGGGCGCTCTCTGTGCACAGCTTGCTGGCTCCCATTCTTGACGCCACCCTCCAGGGCTACTTCCTTCCACCGCTCCCGTTCTTCCCTCCACTTGACTTTGAGTACTACTGTATTCAAACGTTTACCGCATTAAATTTATACCTATTAGGTATAAATGACCATACCTATTAGGAAATATATAATGTTGCTGACCAGAGTGTAAATTTCAAAACCTTCCTGGAAAGAAATTTGACCATACCTATTAGGAAGACTTACAAATATTGTAACGTTTACCATTCTTGACGCCACCCTCCAGGGCTACTTCCTTCCACCGTTCCCATTCTTCCCTTCACTTGACAAG